ACTTGAAGTCCCATCCGCGACCCAATTCCCGTGTTACTTGAATTACGGCTATAACTTTCGACTTGAGGGAATGCGATCTTGAAAGTTATGCAGAATACAGCATTACCCAGCGAGAAAATGTAACAACGATGAATCCACTTTACAATACAGTTTGTGATATACTGTGAAAATATATTTCATTGAAACGGTAGACCGACAGTGACAAACACGTCCAACCAAACGGTAATATTCATGCAGATGTTAGCGGAGCCTAGAAACCAAAAGCTCACATTAGCTTGCAGAAATAAATTCCTGTAAAATTATTTTCATTAATTACGATGTTTATATACGACAGATACAAATGATACTTACTTGTAGCTCCTTCAGCAAGGATTTTAAAATGGGAAGCTCTTGATCCAATGACGGAGAGAGTTGTCCAGCTCGTGAACGAGGTGACGAACTGACTGATCGAGAATTAAGCGGACTTTTACGCGGCTGAAAAATGAGCAGTGAAATCGGGTGGAAGTGCACTCCGTCATTACATTCGATATTTGAGGGGATGATGAACGTGCGTAGGTTGACATGCTTCTCTCACTGATCTGCGCACCTATACAAAATTTTATCCTGGCAAGCATACAACAAGGCATCGGATTGTGTAAATAGCAATTAGCCCGTATCTTCAAATATAGACCTTTGTGAATATATATATATATATATATCGCGAGTTTAAACTGTGCAACGATTAAGTTTTTAATAACTTGGAGAACTTTTCCACGCACAAATTGCGTTTGAATTCGTTGCTTTTGTTGCGTAAAGTATCACCGATGATGAAGCGATAACCGTTAATTTCGCAATGTAGTATTCTGGGACCTTTACCCCAGTAATGAGTATCGCAAAGGATAGTGAAGTTGATGTTTTCAGCTGGGCGTTGCTCAGTCTTCTTTTATTCGATACCGCCAACCGTGTTGATGTTCCCATCAGTCATGAAGCTGGCGCCCATTACTACGCTTCGTTGAGTAATCTTTCTCATGTTATCCGATAAAAGTAAAACATTCTGAAAACGAACACTGATGTATACGAATATTATTCCTTTGTCTGATCTTTTCAGTCACCCCATGCAAAAAAAGGATTGAAAAAGGGTTTGCATGTTGTTTTTCTGATTCTCTTAGACCGGTAACACCTGAGCCAACGTACGTGATTATATTTAACTTGGTAATTGTTTGAATTTTCCCCCGCAGGTTCCGTTGTTCTCCTAAATTTCTTAGGAATAAAAGTGAAGCGTGTGCATTAACATCTAAAACTCATATATTTCTTTGCACGTGGGATTGTGTATCCAAATATGTATGTATTGGTCGACTTGATTGTTTGAAGTGTATATATTAAGGGTTTTTATAGAACATGGCTTCTTCGACAAATTTGCAAACTAGTCGTAAAACAATCAAACACGCCCCAAACAATAAATGTTGTCTGCTCGTACCACCATTTGCGAGAGAAGGTCTAGCTTCATTATACATATATATATATATATATATATATATATATATATATAAACCGTTTTCTAGGTGAGACGAGCACGGGCTGTTACCAGCCTTGAAGACAGTGTTTTTTTCGTTCGACTATGAATTTTTACTGGCGTCATACATGCCAATCGTTGGACATGAGTTTTTATTGCACGTCTCTCAACTGTCGAACTTTGTGAGCTGCTGAGAACTACCCTCTCTCCCGCCTTGTATTTATAAAGCTGATATTGTACTGGAAGTTGGGGGGTTCGGACTTTTGGTGCAACAGGAGAGTTTAGTTGTGAGAAGATTGTTTAGATAAAAAATACTTCGCAACAAAGTATATGAACGACTGAACATAAGTCCCTTGGAAGATTAAGACTAGTTTCGCGGGTCTTGCTGCTCGTCGGGTATGCTTATCCGGTAATCGCTCACATTTCAAAAGGGCATTCAGTCAACGTTTTCATGGCTGGTAGCATCTAAGCCACAACAATCATCGCTTTGATTCACTGATGGACTGCTTTGAACAATATATTCGTAAAATATACTCCCCGTGTCGCTATTTAGAGATTTATGACGTAAAAATGGTTTGTTGTAGTGGATGAATTTGCATACAACGAAACCATTAATGAATCAAACCAGCACAATTCTTGAAGCCATATCTTCTTGAACCTCTCTTGCATCTAGTTACGTCAGACGTAAAAATCAGAGGCGATGAAGCAAAAGTATAAACTAAAACAATCTGTATCGAATCAAAGCATCCCCTAGTGATTACTCAGTCTTGCTTCCAATCAACGGAACTTCAAAGCAACCGCATATGTGGATAATTAGAAAGAGTATTAATTCTGTATCTGCAAAGCTCTTGAAACGCTTCGCAATCTGTTATGCAAAACTATCTCCTTCATTAAAAACTGTTTGTCTCTCCTACTCATATAAGTGATGATGTGACAATCTGATCCGCAAAACCAGTTCTACTTCTCGTCTAAATAACTTGGAACGAGGGCAAGTTTTAATTATCCAATGAAGGAAGATCGATTTTCATTCCAAGGCGGTTACCAGAACAATCATTATTGAATCCTTTGATCCGAGTGCGCCATATTAATCAATGTTATCTAACCCTTATATGCAGAGGACTAGGAATGCCATCGAACTGAGCACATGATTGTCATATGTTCTCACTTTAAAATTTGATAGATAAACTGATAACTCCTCTTACGGCTGCATTTATTTGTATCAAATAAATGTTTACAATTTGGGACAGTTCTCACACTGAATTACAGAATTGGAGCAACACGATCATACTAAGGACTGCATTCGGGCTGAAGATGTCACATCGGTGAGCCATTGAGTTGGTTGAAGGAACCACAAAAAAGTAACTGACGTTAGATTAACGGATGTTTACATCCAAGCAATGTTACATCTTTGGTGTAATCTCACAATGACTAGTGGAATAACTGATCATTGCTATGCCTTTGAAGCACTGTATTCGATCGGTGAGCTAGAAAAAAGCCCCATTGGGATGACACCGAACTTAGCAGTTGCATCAGCAACGGGCATAAAGGGGAATTGTAAACGTTCAAACAGAAAATAATTTGAAGCAGATAACGGGGCTTCAGAATAGCTTCTATTCATTCATTTATGTTGTATCTAAATAGTGGACGTTTTTGTTAGCATGTGTGATTGCTTTTCAGTAAAAAAATCACGTAAGCCCATCTTAGTGGAAGGAATAAAAAGGAAAACGTAATTAAAAGGTTGGATAAAACCTATATACCCTCAAAGTTTCATTCGCAACTTAAAAGCAATGTTTGATTGAATGGAAACGTTTTCAGTAACAAATCGGAAATAGCCGGGAAGCTAGACCGATTTAAAACAGGGGCACAAAACAATATCATATCAATATCTTATGAGTTTTTTAGATGGATGAACAAACAAACTATTATTGGAACCATCGAAGAAATAGAGGGAGAAAACAACATCCTAAAGGACATCAAAGTTATTTGTCAACGGACGGCATAAATTCCTATCCAACTAACTGCATTGAATACTTGTAGTAACTTACACTTTTAGCCATGAGAAAGGGTATGGAGATCCCAGTTGTGAAAATACATCCCAAGAGTTTGAAATATTTCTGAGGAGTGTCGAAAGATGAGACAATTACAAACCAACGGCAGGGGCAGAATTTTAGCAGTGTCGGTCGAAGGGTGCCTTGTCTTTCTCCCCTATAAGTAATCTGTTGACGAAGACTGCACTTCCAGTTCATTGGACTTGTACCATACTTAAAGCCCATCTTCAAACTAAAACCTTCGAACATGACACAACTTATAGGAATCTCAACCAGCTCCGGTATCAGTGGTTGCCTCCATGCTGTAATGTATTGGTTTAAGACTGACAGAAGCCTGAACCTGCTGTCACCCTAATTGGAAATCTCCAGTGACATGTTTTTATTTTGAAAGCTGCATCACATCTGGTGGAGGGGTAGCTGAAGAAATCAGCAAGATATTGTGTTGAAGTCCACATCTAGTTTAGGGTATCTTTGACATAGGAGTGAGATTAATGATACTCTAAAACGTCGACTGTACAGTGCTGCAGTGTTATTCTAGAGTCCTGGAACCTTGGTGGGCTCATTTTTAGAATGCCCGTTGATTGGAAGTGACTTTGCACGGTTGCTCACGTTTGATGAGAGCAAAAGGTGAACAGAAAGTAAGCGAGCTAATGAGTGTTAGGTTTTGACAAACCTTACACCGAAATTGTCACAGTACTCAACCATTTACCCCGGTTCAGTCAGCTTTTGAGAATGCATTCCGAATAGCTGCTACTGTGTGTTGTGCAGGATTAGGAGAAAACTCGTGGAGGCCAAAATATGGCACCACGAATGAAGTTGATCAAAACGTTCCCACACATAGGCTCTTCTCGACTTCCAGGTTGGAGTGACAATATTGCTGAGCATCTCTAGTTAGAGAACATGAAGGAAGTGGCTCAGAACCGGAAGATTCGGTGAAAGTGATGAACTTACTGTGAAAAACAGATGCAAATCTTGGTAACAATAAACGGAGCGAATAATCACCTTTCCGGTTGATTCTGCTATAGTTACGACTTGGTGTTCAGGTTCGCCAAGCAATTAAACTTCGTATCATTCCATCCCAGTGCTGATTAAATGAACAACAACCAAGGTTTACAGTATCATGTTTAAGTACGCAGTCACCAGGTGGAACATTTGCTTTGTCCTGTTTGGGACTTCCAAAATTATAAGGTATTATTAGGAAAGGCAAGTGTCTGACATAGTTGCGCTCTCGCTGACGTCGTTATCGTCGTCTTAGTTGCAACATTCAGTACTCCTTTGGTATAGCTGTACTGAACATTGTGAGCAACCTGATGGGGGGTTAGTATTTGAAACAGCGACCATTTGCCATTTACATATTCTAAAAACAACTTGGATTCTGACATCATCTTGATACTACTCAAAGATTCTTTCTTCGCTGCATTTTGTTTTCTAATTGGGCTACTAAAACATGCTTGTTCAAGTTGTTACCAAACTAATTAGGGGTACGGGGAAAAATGGATCTTTTTGCGCACATAGCTTTTAAGCACATCCGTAGGGTGTTGGAGTTAAATGTTGAACAATTGCGCACTAGATTAGATTCGATAACTACCTGAATTTGTGAGCGTATGCTCAATCTGCTTTCTTTGGTTCTTTAGTTTACTGAGGATTTCCCTTTTCTTTAATTTTACATTGTTTAGATCGTTTTACAGTGATGTATGAGAATTTCACGTAGAATCAGCGGACTATTTATTTCTAGGGAATATCTTTGTGATAAGTTCTACTGCATCGATTCTTAATTTACTAGCTGTTGAATTACCGGGTTGACATTACGGTTGTTCTCTTCCAGAGGTTCTCTTTACCAGCCTTAACTGAACAGTTAGATACGCACAGTTGATTATGACAACCAAGAGAATACAAGCAGTGACTAAATTTGTGGTTACTTTTCATTTTATATTTTCCAAACACCACAACTCGCGGTTCAGTTGTTATTTATTTTGCATAAAATTATATTGTCAGATCCCTCTCTCACACACCCTAGATCGTTTCTCTCGACGTATTAGCTCATTATGTGAATTTTCTGAAGACATGTTTTGGCCAACACTACATAACTATACCCCACAAAATTGTTTCCGCCCAATTAAATATTAATACGCTTCTGAGTTTGAAACGGACTACAGCGCGAACAGATTGCAAAGTGCAAGCCTTTGAAAATAGAGCAGCAATTTATCACGAGTGATTTTACCAAATCTATTCCACGAGCAGAAAACAAGCAAAAATGGAATCTGGTCAACGATGTCCAGAAACAAAAACACGAGATGTAATCTCGTGTGTTTCATACCAACCGCTACAGATATTTAGCACAACTTATCCACAATGAACTCCATCAGGAAAAAGAGCGCTTGGACTCAACGCGATCGTGTATTCATTCCGTAAAATGTCAGACAGTTAGCACGACCTCAGACCGTTTGTCAGGGCCGAACAATACAAGTATTTCAACACGATTGTCCTCCCTCTTTGTGTGTGTCTCTCATTCAAGCGACGTTGTGTGTGGCAGAACTGCTGTTGGATCATAAAGTGAGCCAAAAATGAAGTGATCAATGAATATCATTACTACACATTTTAAAATTGATCGATAACTGATCACTTCAACATACCACTATTTCAGCTATGTGGTTCGTACCAGCACATTGTGTGCATTGAGCTTCGGAAACATTTGCTTGTTAGTATATTCGTCTTTTCGAACTTCGTTTCCGTAAATCGGATTCCATTTTTTCTCACATTGCGCGGTACTATAACCGTACAGCACAACTTTTAAGGAACTTCTATAGTCTAATCAAACGAAGACGGTCAATCGCTTGAATGATGTGATTCTTTCATCTGCGTGATGAACATCAGATAAATGAAGCATAGCTTAGAGGAGCCGTAGTTTGGTGAATGAATGAACACTGGTAAGCACAATTCTGTACCAGTACAACGCAGCTGCATATACTACACCATCTTCAGATAGTAGTTTTCATCTGAATCGGGTAAACAGTGACAAGAGATGTTCTCATATTGCACATAACAATAACCTGCTTCTTCCTTTGTCATTAATGCAGATCGAATAATTTCACGCCACTAATCTGGTGTGACAGCAAGCTATGATCCATTCGAACAGAGGAAAGACATAACCTTTTGGTCAATTGAATAACAAACAGTCTTTGGATTTAGGTAGAACCGTGGTCAGATGTCTGACGGCTGACGAGATCGA